GAGAGAGAGAGAGAGAGAGAGAGAGAGAGAGAGAGAGAGGAGGGGAGGGCAAGAGAGGAGGAGGCAAAAGGAGAGAGCAAACACTCGCTTAAAAGGGGAAACTTGCACATGCGTATTGAGTCCTTACACAGCCCCTTGATGAGTGATGTGGCCGTGAAGTGGCCATGCCACTATGCATGCCCTGGCCATTGTCAGAGAGCTGGGTCAATATAATGCTGAGGTTCCAACAATCCCACCTCTTCTTATTAATAAAAGGTGGGGAGTTTGGCGTGGGAGGTTAGGGAATAAGGGCATCGAGTACTCAAGACTGCTTCCTGCTGACCTGGGGACATTGACCATCTTTGGGGGACCTGAGAAAGCTGGAGTGCTGCCATGTCCTGGGTTAGCTGGTTGTTCCATCATAGTCCTGGCTGTATGGAACCCTGACACCTCTGTAGCCCTGTTTGGGTGGGTTCAACTTGGCTCCCTGGAACTTAAAGAATCCATTGGCCCAAGCAACATGGAAAAAGTCAATTCTACTGTCCTCTTGTCCACGGTCTGAAGACCTTTTCAGCAGTTGAGGTTAAAGGCAGGGTTTCTCAGTGGCTAGCATTGCCACTTTTGTGATGGAGTTTCTTCAGTGTCCTGTGTTCTTGGAGGAAATGGGGTAGGGCAAGCAGTTGGCCTGTCTCTCTGTTCTAAAAAGCTTTTTAATAAAACATTTTATATGTCATATTCTCTAGATCTCTGTCTGTTTAGTATATCTCAGTAGACAAAATTTGTCTTTAGTTACTTGCTTTAAGCACATAGGTGGCTAGGTAAGGCTTTATCCCTGTAATTTAATTTGTACAACTATAGGTTAGTATGACTATAGGTTAGTAGAGAAAAATTCCCTTTTGTATTAGAAGCTTAACCTTTGTAAACATATCACAGGAAGGACTGGGTGGTGTAAATATTTTGTTAATTTGAAATAGACCTTTATAACCTTAAATGTTTACCATCATTTAAAGATACATAACAATTTAGAAATATTTGAGACTTAGCACAGGTTGCATAGAGTTAGCTTACATTTTTAAATAGTAGCTACATGTACACACACATAGATATATTAAACAGGACTGGATAAAAGTAAGGAGAACCAGAGTATGATCTCTGATTCTCATGTTGCAGCAAACAGACAGGAGATTTAAAGATGGAGAGTAGACTTAAAACTGCCAGTGACAAGAATCTGCTGCAGACGGAACAGGTGATTGGAAAGGTATACCATTAAGCAAACAAGCCACAAGCCATGCACAACAGAGCCAGTGAAAAAAGAAATTAGAGACAAAAAATAAAAGGCAAAAAGGTAAATGAATTACATCTGGAAGGGCTGGCTAAACTCCTCTGCCTAGGCATGGAGTGGACAGACCTACGGCTAAGACACTAGGGCACATGGTCAAGATGGCAGCAGCCATAATCACATTCCCGTCTACTGGCAGAAGTTTAGAAAACTCTCAGAGTGTTCTGAGCAGATGCTGCCTCAGGCCAGGCCAATGTGAGCCGCTGGCATCCGCACTGGGAAGAAACATGGTAGAAGGGCAGCAGAGGTAGGACAAACAGGAGAGTGAGAGACATTTTGAACAGGAGCATAAGAGGTCTACGAAACAGGACATTGCCAGGTGGAAGAAGGTTCCCGCCCTGAAACAGGCTTAGCCATGATGGGAAGTGGCAGGATGCCACTGTGGCAGAGAGTTTTGGCATGCCAGGAAGAGGAGGGAAACAGACAAGTTTAAGGAAAGATTGTTTAGCAGAGAGGTAGAAGAAAGCTTAGATATGTGGCAACTCCTTCCATTTACCTGTCCACTGGTGGTAATTGTAAAGCTCCCGTAAAATGTAGAGCCGTTAAGTGGCCAGTTTGGCATATATTTCCCATGGGTGAGGCCGAAAATGGCACAGATCACTCTTGGAACTCATCAACCGAAGAGTAAGGCCTGGCAAGAAGGCCTGAAATGACTTAGCAATCTGAAAGATGGTAGACAGTAACTGCCAGAGGCTTAAAGCCAAAAACCTCATCCGTGGGAAATGTGCATACCAGGAGAAGGGGTTCCTTACCAGGTCACAGCAAACAGGGAGACGAGATCAGGATACCTGAGTGTCTCCGGTGCCCGCCAGTAGGCAACGGGAGAGACTACAGAGAGAGCCTGCCGGGTCTTCGGCACCAATGTTGTTCTTTTGCTGCAGCAACAGGCAATGAAACATGAACCATGAGTCAACAAACCCACATGGAGTTTATTGAAGGGAAAGGGAAGAAGAGAAGGGGGGTGTTGACCAGCTGGGAGCAGAGAGAAAGAGAGAAGTGGAGAAGAGGGGTGGAGAAGGGAGAGAGAGAGGAGGGAACAAGGAAAGAGATGGGGGAAACGAAGGGAGAGAGAGAGAGCTTGTGGAGATGCTCACCTAAAAAGGGAAGCTTGCACATGCGTACTGAATCCTTAAGCAGCCCCGTAATGCAAGATGTAGCCATGATGTGACCATGCAACACAGGGCCCTTTGAGCTGCCTAAATCTGCCTGAGTGCCGTATGCATGTCCCACCCATTGTCTGGGGGTGGGATCAGTGTAATGCAGGGTTCCAACAGTAAGGGCACCAAGACCCAGTGAAATGAGCAGCTGGGATCCCACACCTCACTAACTAGAAAACAGAGCAGCGTTGTACTTTGGGTAAGAGGGACATTTTCTTATCATTTACATGCCACATGTCCTTTCCAAAGAATCAAGCAGTTCTGTAAGTCCACCAAAAACTAGAACCAAACAAGGCTCACCTAATAACCCTGACCATTGTAGCCAGAAGGCATCCAGATGAATGCAACAACTATGATGGAACTTTAACAATAAGCATATCCCTGGGCTGTAGAGATGCTCGGTGGTTAAGACCACTTGCTGCTTTTACAGCATTATTAGGGGGCTCTCAGTTGCCTGTAACTGAAGTTCCAGGCCTTTGACTTTGTCCTCTGACCTCCGTAGGCACTGCACTCATATGCACACACCTGCACACAGACACACAGACATACACACACAGTTAAACGTTTAAATTGGGGGGGGACAATAGTATGTGAGTGGCATAAGCCACATATGAATGAGTCTCAGGGGCTGTGGTGCTCAGCAGAGGCAGTCCCACTCTTTGGGAGTCACTGTGTCTGAGCCTTTGCTGTGGTCCCTGCAAGTGGAGTAGGGGTGAAGACTGGCAGTACAGGGTGCTGATGATGACTTGCCAAGTTGCACTGACCATGTTTGTCTTCCTGAAGATGTCATTGTACTTTTTGATTTCCTGAGTTGTGTCTGTCGGCCTTGCTTCCAGGTGGATCTATCTTAACGATCAGAACCTGTGCATCCCTGCCAGTTCATCCTTTGTGTATGGAGCTGTCCCCATAGGAGCCAGTATTTATGTTATCGGAGACCTGGACACAGGTGAGAACACTGCATTGGTTTCTTGGAAGCTGCTTCCAGAGGCTCAGGTGCACCAGCTCAGCTCTGCTCCCTCTCTGGGTTTAGGTACCAACTATGACTATGTGCGTGAGTTTAAGAGAAGCACGGGCACCTGGCACCACACGAAGCCACTCCTGCCGTCTGACCTTCGTCGCACAGGCTGCGCAGCTCTGCGCATAGCCAACTGCAAGCTCTTCCGCCTGCAGCTGCAGCAAGGCTTATTCCGCATCCGGGTCCATTCCCCTTGAAGAGGAAGAGGAGCCAAAAGTGAGATCCTGCCCCAAGCGCATCACGTGGCTGGATGTCAGCAAGCACAGAGAAGCAGCTCCATCTCGCTGTGTGCTGGGCTTCAGTAATGGTTACTCTTAGGTGGTTTTTTAATGCTTAGAAGCTTGGGCTTCTGCTCTTGTTTGGAACCGTGTAACTGTTGAAAAACTACCCGGGAGGAATCAGTTCCTCCAGCCTGATGCGTCTGTAAACTGTGGAGGCTAGTGAATGTCAAAAGGAGGAGGGAGTGGGGGTTAGTGTCATACGAAATATCAAAGTCAAAGCCCTAAGGTGCATTTTCCCAGAAGGGAGCTCTTACCTAACTGATGCTGTGTCCTAGTGTGTGTGGCTGTGGTAAACAAACAACAGAATTCATGTATGCAAGCCAACACACCCAGCATACAAGGTTGTCCTTGTACTGTGTGTGGAGAGATATAATGCCTAGCCCCACTCATTAAATTGAGGTTTGTGCCAGTTAGTTCCCATTTAATACTAGTGCTCTGTCTTAAGATTCTTTAAGAACTATATTCTGATGAATTGAAACTAAGATAAAACTCCTGTCTGGCAGCAATCTGTCTTAGTAAAGATTCAGTCACCCAAGGAGATCAAGTCCGAAGCCTTTGTATGAGCTTAAAGGACTTACTCACTGTAAAAGGCTCTGTGTCATGAAAGTTCCGGGGGTGCTGTCAGCTCAGGAGGAAGTTTGTACCATTCTTCTTTTCCATCTGGAAAACAAAACCATTTTCTACACTCCAGGCTGTTAGTGCAGAGGAGATTTTAGAGTCAGGCAAATGATAGAGATCTGCTTTGACTAAAAGTGATGAAACAACACTGAAAAAAAAGAAAAAGAAAAAAAAAAGCTGTCCAGATAATGTACATAGGGATTAAAAACTTCATATAATCTGTCTGAAAGCACACTAAGTCCTGTTTACTGCTGCTTAGAAGTTACAGACTTGTCTTTGAATACAGGTGTGTTTAGAATCTTGTCTTTGTAACAGACCACTTCCAAAGCTGTCCACTGGTAGGAGTTTTAGATGACTTTTCACTCCCAGTAATGTTTGGCTGGTAGAATAAACTACCTCAACTTAATTTCATTCTGTTCCCGCTAGTACCCTCTTCTCTTTCCCTCCTTAACCATCACTCATTGCCATTTCCAGTCTCCTTCCCACCCCCCATTAGTAAAAAAATTCTAAGTTTGTAGAATTTATCTTGTGAGATATTTTTTTTCTCCATTCAGATTATGCCACCGTGGTGTGAAATCAGGGACTTGAGTGCACTCCATTACTTGATAGTGTGAGTTGTATGCAATATGAAATTTCTAGTCAACTTGATTTAGATTTCCTCATTCTAATTGTTTCCTACAAGTTTCTTTCTCTTAGAATATTGCTAGACGAGACAACATTATATGTTAGTGATTGCTAAATGTATAAGTATATCCTTTGGTTATAAATTGAAGAACAGGAATTTCTTCCAGAAACTTCCTGCGTGAGATTTTTATATGCAATTAAAATGCATATAAAACATTAATCCTATTTTCCCACTGTGGATCTGAAAAAGTATGGCCTCTCTGCAGGGATTTTCCTATACCTGTGACTGGCATTACAAAAGTTGCTGAAAAGAACCCAGAGAGTGGATGTGAAAAGGGCTGGGAATGGCTTCCTAACTCTGCTGTGGCCAGAAGCAACTTGGTAAGAGTCTAAGTGTAAGTCTTTATCCTTTGTTCTAGGCCAGATGTGCCACACATTCATGCCATCCAGTCAAATGTATTGTCAGTCAAAGCCAGGCTTGGATTGTGTTGCATATCAGCCATATTTTCGGCATGTTTTCCCATTGGGAAGCTTTCCATCAAAGAAGCTATGGCAAAGAAAGCACTTTCTGCTGTTGCTGAGATGGTGGCCTCAGAGGAGAGAAATTGCCAGAAGGGCAAATAGACTTTGGTGAAATACCTGCACAGGACAGAGCTGTGGTCTGCCAGAGCAGAGAGAAACTGATACCAGGACAGATGTGGTAACTGTTCTGTTTTTGTTTTTGTCTGTCTGTCTGTTTGTTTGTTTGTTTGTTTGTTTAAACTCCTGAAGTTTAAAATTCTTCTGTCTGCTTCAGGCCTCTCCAAGGAGACAGTTCCTTGTTTAGAGCCATGGGTCCAATAGTAATGTCATAGTACCTGTTGACTTGGTCAGTTCACGTAAAAAAAAACAAAAGCAAAAACAAACAAACAGGTTTTTCAGTTCAGTTCATTGACACTGTAGCTGCAGAAATTAATGTTTATAAAATAAATTTGCAACTTAATATGGGATGCAATAACAACAAAAGCTGCTAAGTGCCAAACTGTTATTTTAGGTGTGAGAGAGAGAGAGAGAGAGAGAGAGAGAGAGAGAGAGAGAGTGTGTGTGTGTGTGTGTGCGAGAGAGAGAGAGAGAGAGAGCGAGAGAGAGAGTGTGTGTGTGTGTGTGTGCGAGAGAGAGAGAGAGAGAGAGCGAGAGAGAGAGTGTGTGTGTGTGTGTGTGCGAGAGAGAGAGAGAGAGAGAGAGAGAGAGAGAGAGGGAGGGAGGGAGGGGCTATCCTGCTGAAAAGTAGGGCTGTATTTAATTTTATTATGATGTTTCAAAGTCAGTCATACCTCTTTGTAACTACTCTCTTTTAGTGTTGAGAAGTAGCTTGTAGCTTCTGTCCAGCAGGCTTGTGGTTTACTAGTCCACTTGTGTCTTGGTAAAAGTCTGAGGGAGTGGTCCTTCCCTTCTCAGTAAGGCACTTTGACCAGGTATATGTTACATTTGGCAACCGAGGCTAAATCTTAAAATCTGAAACACAAATGTCTTGGGGGAAGTGCAATTTCTTTTCATTGGAAGGTGTTAGGCTACAGTAGTGCATCAAGGCACTCTGCTAGACTAGAGTCTAACATAGGTTTTAGGTTTGTTTGTTGGCTTGCTTGCTTGCTTGTTTCTCTAACATATCTAAACATAGATTTGTTTCAAAGATTTAAGTGCTTAATTTAAAGTGAAGTTTTTTTTTTTTAATCTCAAGCGTGCTTATGTTCTGTGAGAAAAATAGTATGACAGATGAGCGAATGTGTGTGCATGCGGTACCACATGACTTGATCAGTCTGTCTGTATATGTTTACTTTTGAGTCGTAGTCACAAGCTATATATACTTCCGTCTCTTGGTGCTTCAGATAAACCTTGAGTCTGTTGACCTTCAGTCACATGGCTGTGTCAAACACATGCTGTGTGTAAATGTGCAACTGTCGGTAGATGGTAGTCAGTTTTACTAGGTTTGCATCTCTCTTCCTTAGCAGGATTTTTATATGTATTTACCAGCTAGCAGTTGGTCCTAGAAAGGGCTCGTCTAAGGGCTTGAGCATGCTGTTTGATCGCTCTGAGGAGTCAGGGATCTGGTTGGGCTTTTCACATCATGGAGCAACCAAAAGACTTCAGGGGCTGTGCTGAATCTTGTTTGTGTGGAGCAGGTGTTCTGTTACATCTCACTGCTGCTGAAGGTACTCTGATCTCCAGTGGCTTCAAAGTATCATTTTATCCTTTATAAGTGGGCGAGGCCACCCCCTCAGCAGCATCTCGGAAACACATTCTCTTTATAGAGGTGGTGAAGGTAGGGCTGTCCTTGCTGTGGTGCCTCAGGTTCCCACAGGATGCCAGTCAGGTGACTAAGGAAAGTTAGCTCTTCTCAAGGGCTCCACTTGACACCTCCTACACAGTGCACTATGCCAGGAGTCCCAGAAGTCCTCCAAGGAGTGTGACAAACGCTGCAGTGCTATCTTATAGTAGGTGGGTTTCCCTGATCACACAGTGCTCCTGTAGTCAGATGAAGACGTTGGATGCTCTGGGAAGAAGTGAGGTGACTTTCACTGTATGCACTTAGAGGTACCAGAACTGCCTGAGAAATAACCACTGGAAGCGTAGAGCAAGGCTTCTTTCTTACAGTCACCGCCCCTTAGCCAAAAGGGCGCAGAGGAAGCCAGTGATTGGTGAGGTGTGATAGTGCCTGCCCTGGATCATTCAGCAAATACTGAGGGCCTCCCAAGAATTGTGCTTGCCTTTCTAGGAACCCTTACAAGGAGGCAGGTGGGATACAGTCCTCCCACCTGCCCCCTTGAGCTTGAGCGGGGACCCTATCTGTGTGAGTTGACCCAGGTTTCCAAGTAGGCATTGAGTCGCAGTACCCTCGCCGTCAATGGGGTGTTTTTCCCTAGGCAAAGTGCTCTCCTCGATTCTGCTGGGCTTTAAATGAGAAGGAAGTGAGGGCAGAATCAAAACTTCCAAGTGCCTGCATCTCCAAGTGCTTCTGTACGTCAGTTGTGGCCGTGTGCCCAGCGCACCCTATGATGTTCATCATGTTAATGTGAGGTTGAGTTACTGCATCTTACATAGGCTTCAAATCTTTTCCGTGTCTGGGGTGAGTAGGGGCACTCTCCTCTTCCTACAGTGAACAGTCAGGTGTGAGCAGCAGCCAAAAGCAGAAGCCTTTGGGTTACCAGGGGTAGTCCAGCCGATTGAACAAAAACTTGAGGTTTTTTTTGGCTCACGGGTGTTTTTATTCCTAAGATGTACATCACTTGTAGTATGGTTTCAGCTCCCAGACCAAATATTTCTAGCTGAAGAAACTGGAAAACCCTTGTTTCCCCCTGCCCGTTGGCTGTTGGAAGTCCCAGGCTTTCCTGAGTGTCTTCTGGAAGCAAGGCAGGGTTTTTTCATAAAGACTGAAGCTAACACTTCATTGATTTGCCCCCCTGCAGTCAGGGGGAAGAAGACTGCTCTGACTTGCTGAGGGGTCCTTCTGCCCTTTAAACAGTCTGCAGAGGCTCCTTATAGCTCACTTAGATGTCTACATACAGTTCTGGGGTAGGGATGAGAGTGAGCCCATTGGTCCGGGCTGGGAAGAAACCTGAGCTCCATTAGATGTCTCACTCTTGCTGCCAGTGAAGTCTGGGTGGAGTTGAACTGTGGGCTCTTCTGCATGTTTTACCTCCTGCCTGGTAAGTTCGTTCCCTTCCTTCATTTTAGCACTGACAGGAGACTTAGGGGCCTTGCTTTATGCTTCTTCACCAGGTATGGAGAGAGCCACCAGGTACACCTTAGGAAAGTCTCCATCACTTACTTCATGGCATTTCCTGCTTAACTGGATGGGAATTGCTTGCAATCATTCCCATTCTTTGTGTTTATAGGGGAAAAACAAACCCTCTTGTCAGCTACCTCATGATGTAGCGTTGAATTTGGTTCCCTGACAGATGAGAAGAATTCAGCATTCTGTCCTGTAAAAAACGCCTGAAAGCAAGCAGTGAGCAGCCTTGAGAAGTTCAGTCCTCCAAGGCGTGCGTGTTTTCCATTTTCCTACTTTTTTAAATAGGCACTTTAAACCTGGAGGAGGGGTAATTCTTCTGGGACTACTGCAAGGTGATTACTTGAAACTCAACTTGAATTTGAAAGTCATTCAAATTCAATGTTTTCTTGTAGCAAAGAAGTAGCACATTCACACAGCAGCGCTGTGTAAACTAGAGGGCTTTGTTTCTGTCCTTGTTAGGATCAGAGAAAAGAGCGAGTGTCTGTGATCCAGCACAGTGTTTGGAACTTGGATGCTTGAGGCTGCTGTTTGGTTTCTTGCAAGGTGCTGTTGATTCCCAGGAACTTTTCCTTTTACTGGCTGCTCAATACATTCTCTTCTTCCTTCAGTCCTGGTAGTACCAGATGTCAGAATAAAACACATGTTTTCTAGGTTCAAGATGGAGGTTGACCCAACTACCTCGAATCATGTTTTCCTTAAGATCATGACTCATCTGGTCAGGGCACTCTCCTGCGCTTCACCCTGCACCTGCCTTCTCCACACCACCAGTCACAGGCTCTCAGTGCCCCAGCCTCTCTGCTCTCTCCTGGTTCCCAAGTCAGAATGAAGCTGCTAAGGGAGTCAGCAATTGGAAACACTCTTCCAGGACTTAGTTCTCATAGGGATGGCCATTTCTCAGGTCACGGTTGGACCTGTCCTACTTAAATGGAAGACTTGGATAGTCAGTAGAGGCCAAAGGAATGTTATGCTCCTCTCAGAGCCCATCCCCACCTCAGCCCTGTTCTCCCCTCAGAGCCCTCTCCCTGGGTGCCAGCCCTCTCCTCAGAGCCCCCTCCCTGGGTGCCAACCCTCCCCTCAGAGCCCTGCATGGGTCCTGGTAAATGTTTAAATCTCATGCAAGTGTGGTA